CTTTTACCACAATGACATTCATTTTCTCGTTAATCATTTTATTCTTATATCAAGAATCATATTCTTTACTTTTTAGTTAGATTAACTATAAAAGCGTGGTTTTTTTTTCCCAATCTACAATTTTTTCCCTTTGTATCGCTTCTGCGCGTGATCGTAAATAAAATGTATAGACGTAAAAATATTAAAAAATTTCCTCAAATTGTGAAGTCTGCAACGTTATAAAGTTAATTTAGTAAAATGTTCAATAATTCCCATGAAATAGTTTCATATGCATATTAAAGATGTTTTGCTTGAATTTGTGCGGTATTATCGAAAAAATGTACACAAATGTCGCCCATCCGTTGCAGTGGTTAGCAACGTTGACTGCAGTGCCTTTCGGCCTGGGTTCGAATCCCGGCGAAAACATGGATGTTTGTAAATGTGTATTGCCTTCGCGGCATGGGGGTACTTTAAATAGCCGTCTAGTCGCAAGTCCTCTCGTGAGGTTGGTCGAAGGGAAAGAGAGGTAGGAGGCCCTTGACCATTCCCAGGCTGTTCTCCGTCAAAACTGGGGTGAAAACGAGCTAATTCATTCTGTCACATGTATGGTGCTCAAAGCTACGGCTAATGACAGGCGTCACTTAGCCCTTTACCATGAATGATGGGTTTCGTGGGCCTTTGCCGATCAAGTGACATTAGTAACAACAACAAAAATATGTACACAAGTGAAGTATTACAATGAAAAAGAAAAATCGTATGCTATGTTTTGATACTTGGTAGCAAAATTTATAAAATAATAACACAAGTGTATCTGATTGTGATTAAAACACCCAATAAATATTCTGTAGAGGTTGCTTTTTTATTTCTTTGCCTCTTTTTCGGCAACCAAAATACAATTTCGAAATTCTAGAGCCCTGTTTTTTTCCCCCACGATTATGCCACCAATTAAATGCTAAATTTCAGCTCTATTAAGTATTTAAAAATAGAGTTTTGAAAATTATCAGAAGTAATAGCACCATTACCGGAAATTGAGTATTTTTTTTTTTTACTTTTTCATTTAAATATCAAAGGCTAGTGTTTTGGCATTAGTTTATTCAATTAAATGCATAGAGACACTTTATGTCCAAGACTACATCAAATTACTAAGAGTTTTCTTACTATGAATTTTTTTTTATATTTTTTTTATTATATACATTTTATTATTATGAATATTTATTTTTTTATATAATTTATCACAATTTTCTTACATAACAGGTGTTATATACCATGCTGTTTATTCATTAAAATATTATTAAAGTAAATTTTTTTAAATTAATAGTAAAAGTAAATCTTTAATTAGTACTAAGCCTACACAGTAACCTGTTTTTTTTTCAAGAAAAATTGAGTCAGTAATAGTAAAAGTATTTTATGTTTTAAACTTTCAAGTTATATTATTACACTGATTCCACGAGTAAAAAGTCAATCTAAGCAGCCATTATTTTACAATTTTAAAAAATTAAGAACTCTTGTTTTTGTTAACTTTTATAAAAGGCTCTATATTTTAAATTTTTAGTCATTGTAGGGGTTTTAAGATTATTACATTATTGGGAACAAAACATTAGTATGGATTTGAAAATCTGATTAATTGTTGAATTTAATAATTATTTTTATAGTTAAACCAATAATAAAACACGAAAGTTTTTAAAATATTAACTTAGCATTTTCTTTATAAAAACAGATAGTGACCTCAGGCGTAAGCCCATACTAACTTTCGTAGAACATATAAATGAAAGTATCTACAAAAAATTTAAAGACCCTATCTTGAACAGAAAAAAGGCACTATATAATAGAAAATACTTAACTCTTCAAAATTAAAAACTGAGAAAAAAACATTTTATGTTTGTAAGGGCATAAAACAAAAACTAAGTTCTGCCTTATTATCTAACTAATGTTATACGTACAAATACTACATTAATTAAACATGACTGAAGATAATTTTTTTAATTCAAAATATGTTTTTGAATAATATTGATAGCATTTATTACAATGACAGGTTATTCAGCCTAATCTTAACATAATCTTTTCACAAAATTTTGAAACACAAAGCATTTATGTACAAAATAACAATGATACTAACATAAACTAAAAATCCTCAAATTTGTACAAAAGACTGAATTCTTTTAAGATTTAAATCAGGGCAGTTTGGAAAGTTTGAGTTTTTATTGCAAAACTTTAAAATATTACAATATAGTACTACGATATGTTTAGTATAATTTACGTTGGTACATCATGGAAATGTTCAGTTTTATCTTCTCAGTACATATATTCAGAATACTTGTACTCTAAATTGTACTTCAGAATACTTGTACTGTTTTATCAGCTGAAAGCTAATTTTCAGAATTATAATTTTCAGTAGTATTCTATGTCTTCTAAATATTGTTTCTAATAGCAACCTGAGAACGTTTTAGCCGTGGCATTTTCTCAAGAGGAAAAAAATTATGAAAAACTTCTAAGTTATATACACTATTTGTTAAAACAAATGTTTGTCTTAAAATCAATCTTAAGTAACTATGTTACTCAAAGAACTCAAAACATAAGCCAAAAGAAATGATTTGAGTAATGAAAATAAAAGGTCATAACCATTTTACACTGAAATGATTTAGGGATATAATCTTTTAAGCTGCTTGTGCATGTTTATTGAAGGGCATTCCTCGAAAACACCTTGTTGTTCTAAGGATTTCATGTTGAAAAAGCTTGAAAAGCTTAATGAATAAATAGTAACAAACAAAAGTAATAGTTCAAAACCATATATAAAAAGGAAAGTCCCCCTTGTGTCCCTGTTGTGCAATGGAATAGCGCGTTGGACATCTAATCCAAAGGTCGTGGGGTTCGAATCCCACCTGGGATGGCCTAGTTTCTGACAATGTTATTTCTTTTTACTGTGTACTATTTTATTGGAATAATTAAATGTAATTAATGAATAAATAGTAATAAAAATAATAGTTCAACATCATATATAAAAAGGAAAATCTCTCCTTCATAGGGTCCCTGTAGCGTAATGAAAAGCACATTAGATTTCTAATCCGAAGGTCGTGGGTTCGAATCCCACTTGGGAGGGCATGATTTCAGAGAATAAGATCTCTTTTTACTATACTATTTTATTGTAATAATTAAATTTAATTAGTGAATAAATAGTAACAAAGACGAATAATTGTCCAACACTATATGAAGGAAAGAAAATGGCAAGAAAAACCGTTTTCTATTATACCATGTAATATTGTGATTCTTTCATATGTATATACATATTTATATTAATTATAATTAATTAATAAAAGGTAACTAAAATAAAATTGTTCTTTTTTGGCCTAAGTAGGAATTGACTTAATTTTTTTTTATATTACTTGTTTATATATATATGTCTGTTAGTTGTTTATATACTTAAATTATATATATATGTCTGTGATTAGCATTAAAAACTTCAAGTTTTATCTCTATAATTATTACTTCTAATTCTAAACGCCAAAATTCAAGACTGCACTTTAAGATTAATTTTTAAACACATATCCAACTAATGTTAAATGAAATACCATAATACTGCATTATTCGTGTGTATATTATTTTCTTTCAAAATGCTTGCACGAATTTTGCACCTTTGTTCTTATTATTACAACTAAGAATGACGCTTTGATAATTAACATCTTCATATTCCAAAACAGAGTCATAACACCATAGATTATGTAGCAAACTTACCTTCTGGCTACCCGGTCATTTAACATGTTTATCTTTTGTTAAGAGAATACAGCCCAGCATTTTATTAAAATAATCGTTATCCGCAATAACAATTAGGAAATAAGCCCCGAAAATTAATTTAGCTCTCGCCACCTAACTTCCCTGCAGTTAGCAGCTTTTCTGAGTTTTAATTAGCTCCCTACTTTTAGAAATCTAATCAAAATATCTAATTCTATCAAAAGAGCCTCATTAGCCGGAGTAGAATCAGTCAAAGGGAGAGTTGATATCTCCGGAAGTGCGAGTTAATTGTTTTCTCCTGCCATGCGAGTTAATTTGCGGAAGTTTCCATCTCTAAAAATATATTTCTTGTTTGTTTTTGAAGTTTGCTGGATATAGGGTTGAAATGGAACTGTGGTGATTAGTAACTCAAAAATATTCACAGGCTTCTGATTTTAAAGTTTTCTTAAAACTATGGCATCAGTTGTTTTACCAAATTGAGATGTACTTTTTTCATTAAAAACTGTGGTATATTTGGTATATAACTGTAGTATGATTTCATTAAAAGCTGTATGTGTGTGTGTCACGTCCATTTTATTCCATTCCAGACCTTTTGGAATAAACTTTCTGATAGCAACGTGAAGAAATGGTCGTATATATATACTTCTCAAAGACGTGTATATACGTCTGGGGCAATTAACACACTGGCTGAGTGAGACGTATATATATATATATATAAGCCGGTGGCAATTAAGGAGGTAATGAACATTCGCTCGATGAATTATTTCGAAAATCTTACTGTGTCAGTTACGTAACAAAACTAGATACAATTTTGATTTAAAAAAAAACGTTTTTTTCATCAGTTTAAGAAATGAACAATTAATAACATAATGGTTAAGGTAAAATGGAAAATAATATGTATGCCCTTGGAGATATAACAGATGTGTTAATATTATTTCCAATTTATGTGTTGAAATAACTGAGAATTGGACACGTGTTTCGAGATAAGCTTCAGTTTAAATGCTATATCAGTTGATAAAAGAATGAAGTGACCAAATTTAGAGCATCTTAAATTTTTATCGAATTAAGTCATTTATATGAAATTTTTTAAGTGGTTTCCTAAGGCATAGTACACTTTGCGTTAGCGTTTCGGCCAAGCAAAAAGGGCTTTATGACCATTTTTGGGAGTATTTTTCCTACTTCATCTTTGATTGCTTTTTGAAACCCTTGGAGTGTTCTTACTTTACGTCCTTTTAATCATGTCTTTAACCCTTTATGTACCGTCGGTACTTATACCACTCACTTTGAAATTACATATAACAACCATTTTTACGAATACTTTGACGATACTTAGCAGAAATATTCTTTGAAATCCACTCTTTCAAGATATATGGCAGCATGGGTTCTATGAAAAGTATTTTAGCGAGGAAAGCAAATAGTTTTACAGCAGAAGTTACGTTTTCAGCTGACTTTTTGATCGGATTGCGAAGACTGTCATTTTTGTTCCGAAAAAGTAGTTAATATCAAAAGGTAAGTGTCTTATTTTTTTTTTACATGTTAAGGAAGACCTTAGACAACGATTTGACTATTTATTTTAAGTGAACAGCGTATACAATTAATTTTACAGTTGAATAACTTTGTGGTACTTATAAGTACTGACAGCACATTGGGTGTAGGAGCAAGAACTTAATTGTTTTTTTTTTCGTCCGTGTAGCTTATTATTGATTTTTATTCTGTTGAAGCGTCATAACTATACTGCAATAGAGTTATGACTTGTTTAGCGTTTCTTTTGTCTTAACTGGTTTATTTTGCTTTATATATTTTTTTTTATTTTAATGTTTTTAAAAAATTTGTAACTTTTAATCCAAGCTTGCATTTTTTTTTTGCCACAAAATTAAATGAAATATGTATTCTTATTTTAAAAAATTATATAATATCATTTTAATTCCTCCATGTGTAACAGAGATTTAACAGTAGTTGGAGATTTTCAAGGTACTAACAATGTTTTTATTTTTATTTCCTTTTCTTAGAGAATCTGTTAAAAAAGAAGCTCAGTCTTCAAGAGGCTTCGGATTTGTTATAGAACCTACCGTCTGAAATCAGGGATGTACTAACAAATGATTTTTCTGATGAAGAAGCCCATGCAAATTATCTGCTATAATTTTCGTTAGATTCTTAGGATTACGTTCAAGAGGCTGAACTAAAAGTGTAGTAGTTCATGTTAAGGAAATACTGCATTTCTTACCTCAGGATGTAGTATTTTGAAAAACATTCAATCGAAACCTCACTCAAAATGCACAACGTGTAATGCATTTCTGTGTATTAATGGAAAAAACTGTTTCTTTAAATATCATCAAATTAAATTTATGCGTAAAAAAAGTAAATAAATTTTAAAAATTTAATAATCTTTAAAAATAAATATTTATGCTGTAGAATATTAGACTATTCTCTGGATATTTAGCATTTTTAAGAGTTAAAACTGGGTTAAAAAAGTCATTCGTTCTTTTCGTATTGTTAGAATATTTGAGCCCTTTGTGTGCTGACGGTACTTTTAAAGTACCAATTTAATTAATTAGATCTAACGAATTAAATTTCCAAAAGTTGAGTATTTTATTTATGTATAGCCTTTAATTTTCAATGCAGTGAACCAAAAAAAATATATTGCATGGAAAAATTTGCAGTAAATCATAATGCGATACATACAGGGCTAAGTATCATCATAAAAAAATAATCCCAATGAACACAGTCAGGGGACAATGGTAGCCATTTCTCAGGAGGCAGAAAATTTATTTTTTAATCTTTCAGCCGTTTTATAGTTGATTTTGCAGTATGAGGATGAGAATCTTGGTGAAAAACAAAGTTTCCTTGAGGGTAAAGACGTGTACTTTTTTTGATCAAGTGTTTTAAAACTTTCTTCGGGTAGTATTAAGCATCCATTTTACACTTTGGTTCTACCAAAAATAGTGTTGTTAAGCCTTGAGAGTAAATTTTCATCCATATCATAGCACCTGAAGGACAACTTGCATTTTGCAAATTAGTTGCGTGTTTGCGACGTTTTTTACGTGAAATATATAGTATCTTCGTTTTGTCAGATGTAAAAGACAGATAAAACAGGTCTTCATCCAAATTTATCCATGCTTTGTATCTACCTTTTCGTAACATTTAATACAGAGAACAAGAATGTTTTCTTCACTTTTCTACGTTCTTAGCAGACATTTGACAACAGACTGAATTATTCAATTTTTATAGCCAATTTTCTTTATCTGACGAAAAATTGTTGCTTGCGATACCTATAGATTCTTTGCTGAAGTTCTTTGAGTCAGAGGATTTTCTACTGTGATAAGTCTTTTCAGCTCCGTTTCTTCTTTTTCCTTAAGGGCTTCCTTTTATCCGCATTTTGTTCCTGAAGCTTTTGATTGCCAGCCAAATTTTTTTTTTTTCAAAGTTTAGATAGTAATCTATTAGCACAAAATCCATTAATCCAGTAATCCATTAGCATAATTTGAACAAACATCCTTCAAAAACTTTAAAATTTCGTGTCGGATTTGAGGATCTCATTTCGGAGCCATAATTTACTCCCACTCATAAAAATGGTTAGACTGGTAATTTAAATGTTTCTTTTTTAAAATATAACTGGCAGCAAAACGATTAAAATTTACTATTCATAGTTATATGCTTTTAAAATTGGTAACATTAATTTTGAATCAACCAGTAGCTAAGAATAATTTATCCCATAAACTATTATTTATATTGAATGCATATTGTGAAAGTGTTTTTGAATTCCTAATATAAATTCATAATGGAATTCAATCGCTTCACATTACATTAAAAGTAATAATTTATGAATAATTAGCGCAATAGCTTTAATTAAACATAATCCATTCATGGATTACCATTTGACACAAATATTGTCATACGTATTAGTTAAGTGCTTATAAAATTGAGGTAGTATGTTTTACACCAACTTAATCAATTTTTAAATATCCATGAGAAGCTATTTTTCCAACTTTGATTTGGGCTGTTAGCAAGACAACTGATGACTGAATTTTCAAGTTACTAATTCAAAGGACAGCCTGTTATTTTCCAGATTCATGTGCTTTATCAAAGCACATGAAAGCAAGATACATTTGTACAACTTGCAACGTCCCACAATGTACAGAATTTCTAAATTTTTAAAATTTC